GCCAACGGTGTGAGAGGATCCTTTATTAAGTGCCAGGCATCCTCTTCGGTAGGGCTTAATGAGCACACTCATGCAAACACAACACCAATTCAGTGAAGCATATAATAGGTTCTATACTCCTCAAATTTTCTTTTTATCTGCATTCCGAATTCTTGTGTGCAGGGAGTCAAATGCTTGCAAGATCCACACGGCAACGGCTGAATTTTTTAGATCCAGAAGCAGCCCCTGGATCTTAAATTTAGAGCCAGCACGGCCTGGATCCATTAAATAGATCCAACCGGTGGTCTGGGATGTTGTGCGAGTAGAAGAGCCCGTGCGTTAGGTGTCTGTCCAGTGTGGCTGCCCGGATTGTGCATCGCACCTGGAGATTCGTGAGCAGGAGGCTGTAGACGATGTCCGGCGAGACCAACTTCTCGATGAGAGTGTGTTGAGGGCGGTAAGCTCGGATCACAGCCGTGTGATGGGCTTGCGGATGCTGTTGCACGATCGCTTCCATGGCTCCCTGCACGGCTTGATTGGCGCGTCTGGCCTCGGGGGTGTCCTCCACGCTCACAGCAACCATCCTGACTCGGATCTCCGTGTGGAATTTGAGAATGGCTTTGAGCAGGGTTGCATTAAATTAGTTAGCACTTGCTCTGCCGCATAGCTGTCGTCGGAGTCGGAGTAGTCATACGAGCTGGAAGACAGGGATGGGGTTGTGGGTGCCACGGCGTCCATGGTCTCTATGACTGCTAAGCTTAACAAGTGGCTAAGGTCGGAACGACATCAGCGGCAGTTGCAAGCTTAACTCACAGAAAAAACATGCCTCTTATGCGCGCAGCTTGTTTTGGTCCTGCACCAAAGCATCACGCCGCCCGGAGCTGAGGTAGAAGTTCACGTACCTGAAGATCCATGTATTGTTGATATGAAAGCTCATGATGGCAGCACGGGTGTATGCGCTTGTTGAACAGGTACATCTTGATGTCGGTGGGTGTATCCTGATGGTTTGCATCTATGGCGCGGCCTGCGCGTTTGTGCGGTGGGGCGTTCGATTGGACCTTGAAGTCTGTGCTTGTTGCCTTGAGGAGTTGGTTGGCTGCAGTGGACCCATGTGACCTTGTTGACTTGCTCGAGGTGCAAGAGCACATTCAGGTCGTGCGTGACCTCCAAGAGGCCGTAGGCGTAGATCTCCGTGTTCTGGAGGGCCATGTCGCACGCGAGGCCGTGTGCATCGGCCAGTAGGGTCGACTTGACTCTGAGGGCCTGGTTGTATTCCGGGTTTGTGGTGTTCTAACGATGACATTGGTCTGGTCGTCGAGCTGGGCAGGACCAAACGTGTATCTGTTGCTCCATTTGCAGGATGTCCTTGAGCGGCAAGCGGTGCAGCTGCAGATGTTCCGGAAGTTCTTCGCGAGGATTAAGGCGTCGGCGACGGGGAGCCCGGCCCGCGGCTCTTTGCTCCATCCATCTGTATAGGTCCATGCTGGGGTAACCGAGGGAGGTCGCGATTTGCTGCTATCAACTTGAGGCTGAAAGTCACGAAGGTGACATGCTGCTGCGGATGCGTTGCTGCGTTTCCACTTCCATTTTCACGGCTGCTGCTCGCTGTAGGTGCTTAAGGATTTGCACCAAAATTGAATTGCAATTTGCAAGAAAAGAATTACAAATTAAACCCAAGGCTCACAAGATGGTCGATGTCCGGGAGCTCTAGTCGACTTGTTCGTAGTGGCGTGTATGCTGATAAGACCAGTCTGTCATCTTTCCACGGACAGGTTGCGTGCTTGGTGAAGGGGTCAAACTCCAAACTTGGTAGGCGAACAGGGTGGTTGCGTTCTTGATGTTGTCCTTTCGGGGAAAGGTCTGGTCCTTGTTCTTCTAGCAGCCACAGTTCTCCTCGACGAAAGGGTGAAAGCGGCACCAGCACGTTGGAGGAGCCTGGTTGATTGTACTTGTCGACGTGGGTGGCCATGTTGACGTTGCACAGCAGCGAGACGGTGGCAAAGTTTGTATGCGTGCATGCTCGAACCATATGAGCAAGGAGAGCAGAGGTCCATGGATACTTCCTGGTGTTGGTTCGAATACCAACAGACCCAGCGTGGTAGTAGGCTCCGGAAGAGAAGACCATAGTTTGTGAGCCGCGGCGTGTGAGCGCCGAGGCACGGAGGAGCTCGGATGGCAGCTTCTGCGCCAACCACGGAAACACCGACATAGGGATGTACCCGTTGCTGAGATGCTGCTGGCAAACTTGCTCAACTTCTGTATGGCTGTTCGGAGGCAAACACGGCGGGGGCTCATCCAGGGGTAGTCCGTGGGGTAGTCGAGCTGGTTGTTGATCCGCATCTGAGTCTGTGTCCACATCCGTCAGCTCGACGTCATCTTGTGGCTTCTTGCTGGACCGCTTGGACGGCATAGCTTAGGTTTGGGAACCAAAAGCTGAGGCCAAGACCCGTAAAACATGCATACAACACCATAAAACACTGAAGCAAGTGCGTATCCGCGAAAAACTGGAAACACCAACACCTTCAAGTGCGCTTGATTTTACTTTGTGCCTTAGGCGAAGTCTCGAAATCCAAGCTTGAAGTAGAGGTTGTCCAGCGCTCGAAGCTGCTGTTGGGCCAGGGACTGGGGGAACACCGTGCTTTCAATCATATGTCTCCTGCTGTGATATCCGCTGAGGCTGCGAATGAAGAATGTAGCTGACCTGTCTGTTGTTCGCGTTGATGCGGAAGCCCAGGAAATCGTCACAGTTTTCGTCCTCAAGTTGTACAGGCTTTTTGTAGAATTGCAGCGAGGATAGTTGCCAGATGTAGGGATTGGCGTGGAGTGCTGCCTTGTCGACGATGATCGCTCGGTTGTCGACGTACCTGCGGATCCAGAGTTGGTCGGCCAGGTGTGCGCTGGCGACATACTGCCCATACAAGCGGAGCCATGTGATTTCTGTCGAGACAATGGCACACGTCGACAAAATGGGGCTGATCTGATTGCCCATGGAGGTACCGCAGGTTTGTCGGAATACTTCCCCAATGGCTGTGAAGGCGCAGGCGTCGAAGCTGAACTGTAT